ACTTTAGATAATAGAAAGCTTGTTTTTCTATTTATTTATTAAATAGTTATACTTTAGATAATAGAAAGCTTGTTTTTCTATTTATTTATTAAATAGTTATACTTTAGATAATAGAAAACTTGTTTTTTCTATTTATTAAATAGTTATACTTTAGATAATAGAAAGCTTGTTCTTTCTATTTATTTATTAAATAGTTATACTTTAGATAATAGAAAGCTTGTTTTTCTATTTATTTATTAAATAGTTATACTTTAGATAATAGAAAGCTTGTTCTTTCTATTTATTTATTAAATAGTTATACTTTAGATAATAGAAAGCTTGTTCTTTCTATTTATTTATTAAATACAACACATTCAGAAAGTTTGAATTTTGTCTGAACTCGAAAATAATTCCTTGAAAATATATCTAACTAGATTAGTAGCCTGAACTTTCGATAATACCTCATTCTATTTGTTTCTCCAACAGATCGTTCCTAATTGAGAACCATCCTGTATTTATTTACGATTAAACCAATATTGTCTTTCTTTTCTCGGTATATTTAATTGCTGTGAAGATGTTATTGTTTTATTATATTGTTCATAATTTACCTAGGTAAGAAAACACATACACAAAATTAATAAATGTTGTAAATGAAGAGGACTTTAGGCTCTTTAATAAAGACTACATTTTGCGCTATTAGTGTTACTTTTATTTTTATTTTTTTTAGCTTTTAAAACCTTGTAAACTATATACTGACGTTTTCCCGTGATGTTTCACACTAACGTGATATCTGTAAGCCCTTCACATAAGGCAGATAATTCTTACTTGAAATTTAATTCATTCCTCTGCACGTCTGCAGGTCACAAGCTTCTTGAACATCCAAAGGCTATATCAAGATATAGTTTTATTTAGGTTAATTAAGTTTTTTTAACACCAACCGTGATATTACTAAACAATGCTGTGTTCCCCGTGGTAGACAGAGCGTAGATAGCTCATTGTATAGCTATGCACTAAAGTAGAAAAAAAAAAGTACTCTCGTTACATAGAAACATAGACGAAAAATGAAATAATCATTCGAACAAACTTGGGTCTAAACTGACGAAACAAAATCGTTCTCGTCTATTACACAAATACTTTACATTCACCCTAATTTGAATTAGACGAAGCTCAAACATCCCTTAATACACAATTTTATTGCCGTGAATGTCAAGGTAAAACGTGATGTCCTTTAAACAAATATATTATACCAATACTTGGCATTCTTAAAACCTTATCATTACACTTCAATAACCTAATTTGTTACACGGTATACCAAAAAAATCTAGGACATCATACTTCTGTACTCAAGTTTGTTAGAATATTACAAGTATCAATTATCATTAGCTCTAAGTTTACCACATCTGCTTCTCTTTATCTCCTCTCTCTAATAAACGTCGAAAGGAAAAAACCGAATAAAAATTTGAAAATGCGAACTTCTTATTAATAGCTTATAGTAGAACTCAAGTACACAATACAAATGCAAACTGCACTAAGCGCAGGCCGCTCTACTTAATGTCAAAACTTGAAAAAGGGGATGCACATGCAACCGGCTTAAAATTGCTTTCACTGCTAAACAAAACTATCGCACAGAAAAGACATTTTAACAGGCGATATGTTATATTCAAACACCTGATGAAGCAGAAAATCAAACTCAAACCGTTATATACAATAAATATAAAGTAATATAATAGCAAACCATAGAATACTATAGTTTATCTTCATTGCAATCACATAAAACATACACCAGCATAATGTCTATAAAAGACTACTATTCCCATCATTAGTGTGATGATTTGCACTTATGTTCCCTAAGACAGATATCCTAAGTCAAGCAAAGTTTTAGTTAGTGAATGCTATTTCACAAGCTAATTTGAGGAGTAATTTCCTGTTTCAGTAGGAGTTATATGGAAATTCTGAGTAAGATACATGAAACTAGTACAGATGGTAAAAAGATAGGCGGTTAGGAAGCCCAAACTATTCAATAGTGATTTTTATTAACTCAGAGTATAGTATTTATATAATTTACAAAATCTAATAGAAATCTGCCAATGACATAGCTCTATGTACAGGTGTGGATTCTAGTTTGTTTGTTATTGTTAGTGAGAGTGACTCTCAGTAGATATATATAGCTGCTCAAAAACATTATTTAGGAGAGTTAACCAAACAAAAAATCTGATATTCTCATCAGACTTCTACAATAGTAATGATGAAAGATGGGGGATAGTGTTACTTACAAAAGAATCCAAATTCAATTATCTTGACAACAATCAATAATTGTTTGTTCAGTGGCCGAGAGGATAACGGTATCATGGCCTACGTTTGCAGTGTATCATATCGAAGAACCAATATAAGTGTGGTTCTGGTATCAGTCAATGGTTCTAGATATCTTCACAGAACTAATGGAACCCTGACTGCTGGCAGATACTGTCAGCTTCTTACCTACCAAACAATGTTACAAGATTCAGATAATGTTGGAAGTGTTTAACAAATTATATGACTGAAAGTTCATTCTGTGTCTTGCATTAAAGACATTCAGCATAACACTGAGAGATCTAATTACAGTATTTTGGCACTTGTGTATAAAGTTAAAATCATGCATAATATTCAATGTTAAACTGGTACACAATTAAAAACATTTTAT